CTAGTGTTGACTACAAACTCCTTGGAATGAAGAACTAGCAAGGGCAACATTTTCTTAAAAGATATTAAATCAAGTGTCTTTGCTTTCTCTAAAATGGGAAGAACACGCTATTGAAAGAAATGAACAGAGAAGAGAGTTAAAGCTAACACTAGGGCTTCCCTGGTGGCGCAGTGGTTGAGGGTCCGCCTGCCGATGCAGGGGACACGGGTTCGTGCCCCGGTCCGAGAAGATCCCACATGCCGCGGAGTGGCTGGGCCCGTGAGCCATGGCCGCTGAGCCTGCGCGTCCGGAGCCTGTGCTCCGCAACGGGAGAGGCCACAACAGTGAGAGGCCCGCGTACCGCAAAAAAAAAACAACAAAAAAAAAGCTAACACTAGTAACCCTGGGGGAAAACCACAACACAAGGATGATCTGACGTGTCCAATAAAGATATTGGCATAAATATTGGGACCTAGAATGAGCAACTGCTGCAAATCCGTTTTTGAATAAATGACAGCTAACTAAATCTGCAGCATGGGTCAGGTTCTATTGGTTTCATTTGTTTCCCTGGCAATTCGGGAAGCATATGGCCTCTCCTAAGAATTAAGGTAAGGAAAAATATTGAATAGTAGTAATGATGTTACTATATACCGGGCTCCTGTTGCTGCCAGACTGGATGCTTTACATATTTTGCCTTGTTTCAGCCTCACAATAACCCTGTGAGGTAGATCCTGTTAATATCTCCATTTTACAAATAAGGGAACAGAGACATGGAGAGATTTAGTAACTCAGAGAGAGGTTTCCAACCTTGGTCTTGGTCTGTGGAATTCTATAGCCCATGTTTTTTCCACTATTCCCTAAAAATAAAGTGGGAAAATGAAGTAAATCAAGTTGGTCACCCGAAGTGTCACTTCCCTCCCTGGAGCTGCTCCTACGTTTATCATACTCTGTCTTGTATTTTAAGTCACCTCATACAAGTCTCATTTTCATAACTATATTTCAATCCCTTTGAAAGTAGGGATTTTATCTTGTATGACATTGTATCCTCAATTTTAGGAGGAACTCAATAGGTATTTAAGAGATAAAAGAAAGAAAGAATGAATGAATGAATGAATGAATTTCACTCTCCTAGGCTTTAAGAACAAAAGAGTACTCTTATCTCTTACCATATCAAATCTAAATTCCCTGGTGTAATTTTTTTTTTTGCCACTCTGTGTGACTTGTGGGATCTTAGTTCCCTGACCAGGGACTGAACCCTGGGCCTTGGCAGTGAAAGCATGGAGTCCTAACCACTGGACCGCCACGGAATTCCCTCCCTGGTGTGATATTTAATAATAATAAAAATATTGGCCAATAATAACTGAATAGTTCCTAATTTTGTGTTATGCTCTTCTAGATCCAAGTTCAAGATATATATGCATCAACTAGATAGGGCCCTGACTATTCTGGCCCTAATTGACCTTTCAGTTAATAATAGCATGCCTTGTAGAACTCTCAGGTAAAAGATGTGACTTATTCCTGCCAGGGAGATATAAATGGCTCAAAGAATTTGTGAAATTCTGGGTAATTTGCCTGAATTATCTCGGTAGTTTGTTTAACCTTTCATTTCATTTTAGCCCAGATCATTCTACATTCAGAAGCATATTTGTTCTTATTTCACAAAAGGAAACATAGTAACTTTACAACAGACAAATCTGGTGGACACCATCTTAATGAAATTAAGACAGTAAAACTAAGGTGGTTCAAATTTACCTCACCAAGAACAGGATAATCTAGCATGAAGGGCAGTCTGATGCGATGTACTGAGAGGGACATCACGTTACTGAAGTACCAATTCTCCTGTGAGGAAACCTCAAAAAACCCAAACTAAGTTATTCCTACAAAATACCGGGCTTTTACTCCAAACAGTGTCAACGCTATGAATGATAAAGTCAGAAGGAACTGTGCCAGGTTAAAGTATACTAGAGAGACATGGGAACAAAAATCCTAGACTGGATTTGTCAAAAGTTCAGAAACAGCCAAAGTAAAACCAGTTAATCACCAAAGCAGTAGTTAGTAAAAGTTTATTTTGCACATACCAAAAAGACAGTTCTCGAACCAGGAGCATTCCAACCAAAATGGGGTGTGTTGTTATAAGGCATCTCATATGGTTGTTACGGAATGTAAGTTTGTGTGCAGAGAAAGGTTTATTGTCCTGCTCGGTTTCACCATTCCTGCCCGCAGAGGCACTGCCATCACCTCAACCCCTGGGCCCCAGAAGCTGCTAAGGATGACTGCTATACTACTGCCACATAGGTCAGAGGCTGCACTGAAATCCTAGGCAACTTCACCAAGGCCAGCTTTGATGCCATCTCCAAGATCTACAGTTATCTCACCTCACCACCTCTAGAAAGAGATCCTGTTCTCCAAGTCTCCCTATCAGAAATTCACTGATGTTCTAGCAAAGTGCAGAGGACCCAGAGGACCCAGGCTCCAGCTGTGGCCACCACAGAGTATTTTTATATGAGAAAAGTAAAGTGAATTAAGCCTAATTAAAAAAAAAATCACTGGTGAGACATGTTAAGAATACAGAACCCTGGACCTCATCATCAGATATTCTGATTCAACAAGTGGCGCTGCTGTAGTGATACTCAGACCACACTGAGGCACACTGAAGTAGTGTTGTATTATTATCCTCACTTTTCAGAGGCTCAGCAAGACCATGCAGAAAAGGGTCTCATGGCTCCATACTAGCAGGTTACTTGATCAGCTAATTATCATGTTGAAAAACAAGTTTGGTCCCATGAAGCAAGTAAATACCCTGGCACAGACTGCTAATGGTTGAGGTGGCTTAAGAAGGCTGGCAAGTCCAGAATTCTAGCAAGTCTACATGGAGTCCTGTGCTTCCCCGGCCAATTAATAATATTCACATGCTTCTGTATGGAATTAAAACTTTCTTTTTTTTAAACTTCTTTATGCTGCGTTCAGTTAGTTCTTGATTTCTAACACAAGTGTCTCTTTCACTTGTACCATTTCAGTCCCTTGATAACTGTCCTCGACTCTTAGAATGGCCTTAATGTTTTGCTTTACCTCCTTAGAAATCCACTCTGCAAACTCTTTAGAGTTCAAAAACTTTCACAGATTTCCTATTACCAAAAAACCAAATCCATAAATTTCAAAAGCTCAGACTTCATTAAATTGAAATGTAGATCATTAAACAGTATTTGATGACTTGAGGTAAAAGGAAATGGCAAGACATGAATTCAAATAAAATACTATTGGAGAACTGAACTAAAGGTTTTTATTTGCATACTGAATATATTTTAATTTTTTCCAGGAAGTGGCTACTAATTTTTGCAAGAAAAAAATGATAACGCCACACTTCTTTGAAAGTAGTATTTGCATAGTCATATATATGAAGTAAATCAATCTCCAGTGTTAGAAAATAAACTTCATGGAACAGTATGGAGGTTCCTTTAAAAACTAAAAGTAGAACTGCCATATGATCCAGCAATCCCACTCCTAGGCATATACCCGGAGAAAATCATAATTAGAAGAGATTCGTGCACCCCAACGTTCATTGCAGCACTGTTTACAATAGCCAAGACATGGAAGCAACCTAAACGTCCATCGACAGAAGAATGGATAAAGATGATGCAGTACATATATACAATAGAATATTACTCAGCCATAAAAAAGAATGAAATAATGCCATTTGCAGCAATATGGATGGACCTAGAGATTATCATACTAAGTGAAGTCAAAGACAAACATCATATGATATCACATATATGTGGAATCTAAAAACACGGTACAAATGAACTTATTTACGAAACAGAAATAGAGTCACAGATGTAGAAAACAAACTTACTGGGGGGAAAGGGGAGAGGAAGGATAAATTGGGAGATTGGGATTGACATATACACACTACTATATATAAAATAGATAACTAAAGAGAACCTGCTGTATAGCACAGGGAACTCTACTCAATACTCTGTAATTACCTATATGGGAAATGAATCTAAAAAAAGAATGGACATATGTAACTGATTCACTTTGCTATACAGCAGAAACTAACACAACATTGTAAGTCAACTATACTCCAATACAATTTTTTTAAATGGAGTACAAGCTATACAACTTTTGAATTGGTATGTTTTTCACCTGAAACTAATATTGTAAATCAACTATACTTCAATTTAAAAAAATAAAGAACTCCCCCCACAAAAAAAGGAAAAGAAAAGAAAAGAAAAGAAAAGAAACTTCATGTAAGTTTGTGCGTTTGTGTTTGGGTCCATTTTTGAGGCTCCATAGCTTAAACTCGTTCCTCAAAGCGGTTCAGAATTCTGAAAAGAGCAGAGTTACCAGACCCTTATCACTCTGTCATGCAACAACCATTGCAACATCTCTGAGCGTTCCCAAGCAGCATGCCTTGCTCCTTTTCCATACCATATACAGAAAGGTATTCATCCCACTGGAAACATGCAGATCCTACCCAATCAGCGGGTGACAGAAGTCCGTTTGTTCTCTGGCTATAAAAACAGACTAGCAGGGTATATGCCCAGTAGTGGGATTGCTGGCTCGGATCAGCTTGCTGCTTTGCGACCACCTAGAGGGGTGGGATAGGGAGGGTGGGAGGGACGGAGACGCAAGAGGGAGGGGATATGGGGATATATGTATATGTATGGCTGATTCACTTTGTTATAAAGCAGAAACTAACACACCACTGTAAAGTAGTTATACTCCAATAAAGATGTTAAAACAAACCAGACAAGCAACCCACGCTCAGGGTCGGCTTTCCTTGGCTACCAGGAAGTCGGCCAGCTGTTCTTGCAGCGACCCTTCTCTTTAATAAACTCTATCTTCCTCACAAAAAAAAAACAAAAAAAACAAAAAAAAAAAACAGTTTAGATATACAAAAACGCCGCAGGGAAAAGTTGAATCGTTTTGCGTTTAGAATCTTTCCATTGGTAAGATTCTAGAGAGGGGCGTGTCCCAACGCTCGGCGACACACCACCCGCGGGGCCACAGGGGATCGCGGCTCCGGGCTCCGGAAGGGCGCCCAGGGCGCATTTACCAGAGCGGCTGCGCGACGTTTTTCCGGCGGGACTGCACGGAGGAAGGCCCTGGGGACAGTCCGCTGGCCCGGGGCCTGGCCTTGCGCGCTCGGAGTCACCGAGAAAACGAGTCCGTCGCCCCTGCCGCCCCTCGCTGTCCCAGCCATGGCCACACGCCTCCTCCGCAGGGCCCTACGCTTGTGGGGCGGCCGCTGTGCGCCGAGCGTGCCGCCGGCATCGAGGTGAGTGCCCGCCCCGTTTCAGCTGCGCCGGCCGGGAGGCTGCAGGGCAGGGCTGCGACACGCACACCGCTCCTGGGGGCTGGGAACCAGCCGGCGCGCGCTCAAGGGGCCGGCTGCATCGGCCCCCGGGACTTGGGCTGAGCTGCTGGGGCGAGAGAGGGTGGGAGAAGGGGCTGGGCCTCGCCCCTTGGCTCCCAGAACCTGGGTCGGACCCACTGGGGCGAGCGCGTGGGCGCCGGCCTAGCAGCTTCAACTTGGTGACAGCCGAAGGGGGGGGGGCGGGCGTCCCTAAATTCTCCCTCACTGGCCCCAATCCAACCCGTCTGGTTCTGAGGCCTGTGGTCGGCACCGTGAGTCTGCATTTCGAAGAGTTCCTGCGAGGCGAGGGCGGGGAGTCAGCCCTTGGCCACAGTTGCACGAGTTGGAGCTACGACCTTTGGCCCAGTTAGATCTGTGGCAAAAAGGCACCGCCCTATAGTGAACTTGGGAGCTGGTATTCCACCGCCTCCCAGATCTTGAGAAAAGCACTTGCAGCGACGCTGACCTAGAGAAGTGCCATGGAGAAGACATCCTGGAACAGGAAAGACCTGGCGACGGCCCGTTAGACGATGAAATTAACTTGAGATTTAACAAATCCTTTAATTAAGTAAATGCAGAGGAATTAATGGAGAGAGTTTCTAAGTGGCTCAGTGACTATTAAGGTAGTGTTTATAAGATCAAAAGCTTCCTGTACCGTCTGACACCTCAAATACAGTCATTGGATAAACAAACTGGAAGCACCGAGGATTCCCTATTTAATGAGAGTGACAGGATGGATAAATTAGCTCATGGCGGCCTTATGGTAACTCTAAGATGCTGTGGGAGCAGGAAACAAAACTGCTGCTCGTGAGGAGGGCTGGGAAGGCTTCACCGAGGAGTGACTTTACATTCGGATACACATACTTTTCTAAGCTCTTCCCCGAATTTCATAAGACAGTGATGCTCAAATTTTTTGGTATCAGGACTCCTTTGTGCTGTTAAAATTAGAGGACCTCCAAGATCTTTTGTTTATGTGAGTTTTATTTATGGACATTGATGTCAATAGATATCTACAAAACTGCGAAATTTTACAAATATTTAGTTTACATAAAAGTAACTCATTACATGTTAACATAAATAACATCTTTATGAAAAATAACTTTTCCAGAAAAAAGGTGAGATGAGTGACATTGTCTTACATTTTTGTAGATCCCTTAATGTCTGCCTTAATATTAGACAGTCTGATTTTCATACCTGCTTCTGCACTGTCAATTGTGATGTTATTTTGGTTGAAGTATAGGAAGAATATTGGAAAAAGGAGGACCTGAGGGACCCTCTGAATAGGTCAGAGACTCTAGTTTCATTATAACAGACTCTTAAACTTTAATGTGCATATGAATCACTTAGGAATGTTATTAAAATACAGTCGACCCTTGAACAGCATGTATTTGAATCGCAAGGGTCCACTTACATGGGAATTTTTTTCCATCGTAAATACTACAGTACTACACAATCCATGGTTGGTTGAATCTGAGGATGCAGAACCGTGCTTTGGAGGAAGCACAAATATGGAGGGCTGACGGTGGGGTATACATGGATTTTCAACTGCATGGAGGTTGGGCGTCCCTAACCCCTGTGTGTTTCAAGTGTCAAATGTACAGACTGATTCATTTGGCCTGGGATGAGGCCCAAAATTGTGTATTTATAACCAGCTCCCTACCTGAAGGTGCTGGCAGAGACTGTCTCCCTTTTATAATGTAAATGAGGTTTTAAAAATAATGATAATAATAATAATTAGAGCCTAGCCTGTTAGATGAGTAGCAGTTTAATGCTTTAGGAAAACAATGGACAATTTATTCAGTACAGATTTCCTGGTTTTTATGGGGAGAAAAAGGGCTCATTTATTTTGTACGGGTTCCTTAGTCTTGGCAAAAAATGGATATTCCAACAAACTTACTGCCAAGTGTTTTGATTTTCTTCTCTCTACATGTTCTCTCTTGAACACTTTTGACTGATCTGAAAATCTCTGTTCTTTCTGGCACTTCTTTCACTTTCCTTTGTCTTGGTGTGTTTTACTTAGAAATGTTCCAAAGATTTCTTTAATGTTACATGGGATATAAAATTTTAAGATCCAGGCAGACTTGGATATAAGTTCCACTCTATTATTTACTAATTATGTTGACAAATGATTCAGTGTCTTAGAGCTCCAGTTCCCTAGTCTCAGCACATTTTTTTCCTTGTGGAAAAATCCCAAGTATGGACCAATGTGTGCATTATAAAGAAATTGGAACGAGTCATTTCAATATAGGATGAAGTAGATTTTAGTCTCTTTTACTGTAAATTACAGTGGTGCGCAAGGCCCTTGCTCACTGTTGTATCCCAAGTTACCCGGATGGTTCCTAGTACATATTAGGCACTCAGAAAGTATTTTTTAGCTAAATGAATAAATAAGCTATTAAAAATGATGATTTGGCTGACAGAGTAGCAAACCAGAAAAACGTGAAGATAACAGGCAGACCAGGTATAAAAAATGTAATATTAAAAGTTCTCAGCTAAAGGTTACCACTTAAAAGACATTTCAGATTGTATTAACAAATAAAACTCAACTAAAAGTTGTATATAAAAGATAAGTCTAAAGCAAAATGACACAAAATACATATTAAGTGTATTAATCAGCTCAGGCTTCCATACCCAAATACTACAGACTGGGTGGTTAACAGCAGAAATCTATTCCTCATAATTCTAGCGGCTGGATAGTCCAAGATCAAGGTGCTGGCCAGTTCATTTGCTGGTGAGAGCTCTCTTCCTGACTTATAGATGGCCCCCTTCTCCCTATGTCCTCACTAGGCCTTTCCTTGTTGTGTGCACACAGAGCTATATCTCTGTCTTCCCCTTCTTATAATGTAAGCCAAGCCTCTTTGTTTAGGACTCCACACTTATGACCTCATTTAACTGTAATTACCTCCTCAAAGCTATATCTCCAAATACCATTACATTGGGAGTTTGAGCTTCAACATGAATTGGGTTGGAGGAGGAGGCAGGCACAATTCAGTCCATTGCATTAAGGAAAGATATATAAACTGGAAAAAAATAATACATTTCAGGGGAAAAAAGATTGAAATAGCCTAATTGCCAATAAACAAGACTGGGTCTTTTCTGGACTAAGAAGAAGAAGAGGAAGAGAAAGAAAAGGGAAGGAAAGGACAGGATAGGATCAGATCAGGTCAGGGTCCAACTAAGGAAGAGAGAAACCCAAAACAATATAATGCAAAACAGAAAAACATCTTTTGGCGATATTTATATATATGATAAAAAGTTTTTTTATATGTGAGCTTAAAAATGTACAAAGTGGTACACAGAGTTTCAAAATCTTTTCAGGCGTACCCCCGGCCGGGGCAGGGGGCGATCTGAAGACCATTGGACAAAAGGAACTACAGAGCAGTCTCTTTTTAAGCTTAATATGGGGAGTGGGGGGGGTGCAGGGAGAGGAAAGGTCAGTTTCCAAAGATTTTGAATAATTCTGGAATAATCCCTACAGAGACTGGTGGGCACTTTGATTTTGCTTTACACCCGGATTGTAATGTGCAGTTTGCATCCTATACACCTGCCATTTGAAATTGTATGATTCTGGATAAACTATTAATGGGGGGGTTACATTATTTTAAAAATTGTACATTACATGAAAACTTATCAGTATTATTCTATTGTACTATTTGAATTTTACATTATTTAATCGGCATCACCCTACAGTACTATTCTATATTCTACTTCAGCTCAAACATGTGATTATTTCTAGGCATGACATCCTCTTTAGGGATTTGGAAGTAAAGACTGAGTTGAATAAGGGTAAACTATTTCTTAGTCTCATCCAATCGAGATAGATCCTAAAGTGCTGCTGCTCAAATTTGAACCAGTTTGTCAAATTGCAGACTCTTTCCTTCATGTTGTTCAGTGACTTTTAATTTGGATGTGAAGAGTAACAATTCACTTAATTTTCTTAATGTATGTATATTTTTAAGATGTTCTCATTCTGGAGGGGAGGAACGTCTGGAAACTCCTTCTGCTAAAAAATTAACAGATATAGGAATTAGAAGAATCTTCTCTTCAGAACATGACATTTTCCGAGAAAGTGTAAGGAAGTTTTTTCAAGAAGAAGTGATTCCTCATCACGCAGAGTAAGTCGCACATTTTCTTTGAAAGTAACGTTAGAGGTCCAAGAAGGACCATTTCCTAGAATGCTCTTCATTGTTCTCTAGAAAAAGTACTGTGTTCAGGGCTTTATTAACATTTTTACCACTCTTCAGTATAATACTGTAAGATTACGGGATTCTTAAACAAGTTCAAAGCTTCTTAAATGAGTTTTAAAATATACAATTAAAAAATATGTTGACCTAATCGACTGCCAGTTTTTTCTCCCATAAAAAATGGGTTTATGGTCCACAGCCATGGTGATCTATGTGCAAGTTGCTGCTCAGCAAGGGAAGGAGAGCACTTTCATAGAGAGGAAAAGGAAGTTGGGAGGGCTAGAGTAAACAAAGAGTCCAGGGCTTTTCAATGACTGAGTCTTTCCTGGGAAAGAGGAATCTTTCTTTTACTTGTTGGGCCCTGCTATTGTCACAGGATATGAGAGCACCCCCTTTTTAATTACCTTAAATTAAGGGACCATTCCTGAACAAAATCATTCATAAATTCAAAATGTGGCCGTTTAAATAATATGAAAAATATTTTTCTGATTTTAACATGTTTGTTACTTGCAGATGGGAGAAAGCTGGAGAAGTGAGTAGGGAGCTTTGGGAAAAAGCTGGAAAACAAGGACTGCTTGGTGTCAATATTGCAGAGCGTCATGGTGGCATTGGGGGGGACTTGTACTCGTCAGCTGTTGTTTGGGAGGAGCAGTAAGTATGGAAGCATTTGAAGTTGAGTCTTGTTTCGTCAGTTCACTTTTCTGAGTGATGATTTTAAACTGTTTTCTAATCTTATAAGATTGAAAATCCTCTTTTAAGTTGTTAAAATAGGTGCTTCATTTCTAATTGACCCATGTGTCTGTTTCATACATGAGAACAAATGAAGATTTCAGTTGATAAATGGGCAAAAGATTTGAACCAGCAATTCATCAAAAAAGAAATAGGTTTTTTAGATGAAAAAAGTTTATCCTTACTACCAAGCAGATGCAAATTAAATTAATCTGGAGGTATCATTTTGGGTACAAAAGTTAGTGAAAATGAAAAATCATAATAACCAGTGCTGACAAGGTTGCAGTGAAAGTGACGCATTCATATACTCTTGGTGACGTTATATATTGGAACAATAAATGCCTTGGAGGTTAAAAGCATGGATACATAAAAAATGAAAGTATTTCTGCTCTTAAATATTGGGTTGGCCAAAAACTTTGTTTGTTTTTTTCCATAAGATGGCTCTAGTAGCACTTAGTTGTCTTCAACTTCATTCAAAACAATTTTGTTAGATTATATTGTGACAGCTGTCATATTAACGTGCATTTAAAAAAAGACTTATTAAAATTGGTGAATTTTTGTGTGGCCATTTTAATATTGAAGGTGGAAGAAAAGAAGCAACATTTTTGGCATATTATGCTTTATTATTTCATGAAAGGTAAAAATGCAACTGAAGCACAAAAAAAAAGATTTGTGCAGTGTATGGAGAAGGTGTTGTGACTGATCGAATGTGTCAAAAGTGGTTTGCAAAGTTTCGTACTGGAGATTTCTCGCTGGATGATGCTCCCCAGTCGGATAAACCAGTTGAACTTGATAGCGATCAAATTGAGACATTAGTTGAGAACAATCAATGTTATACCACCTGGGAGATAGCCGACATACTCAAAACATCCAAATCAAGGGTTGAAAATCATTTGCACGAGATAGCCTCATCCACCAGAGGGCAGACAGCAGAAGCAAGAACTACAATCCTGCAGCCTGTGGATCAAAAACCACGTTCACAGAAAGATAGACAAGACGAAAAGGCAGAGGGCTATGTACCAGATGAAGGAACAAGATAAAAACCCAGAAAAAAAACTAAATGAAGTGGAGATAGGCAACCTTCCAGAAAAAGAATTCAGAATAATGATAGTGAAGATGACCCAGGACCTCGGAAAACCAATGGAGGCAAAGATCGAGAAGATGCAAGAAATGTTTAACAAAGACCTAGAAGAATTAAAGAACAAACAAACAGAGATGAACAATACAATAACTGAAATGAAAAATACACTAGAAGGAATCAATAGCAGAATAACTGAGGGAGAAGAATGGAAAAGTGACCTGGAAGAAAAGATAGTGGAATTCACTGCTGTGGAACAGAATAAAGAAAAAAGAATAAAAAGAAATGAAGACAGCCTAAGAGACCTCTGGGACAACATTAAACGCAACAACATTCGCATTATAGGGGTCCCAGAAGGAGAAGAAAGAAAGGACCCAAGAAAATATTTGAAGAGATTATAGTTGAAAACTTCCCTAACATGGGAAAGAAATAGCCACCCAAGTCCAGGAAGCGCAGAGAGTCCCACACAGGATAAACCCAAGGAGAAACATGCCGAGACACATAGTAATCAAATTGATAAAAATTAAAGACAAACAAAAATTATTGAAAGCAGCAAGGGAAAAATGACCAATAACATACAAGGGAGCTCCCATAAGGTTAACAGCTGATTTCTCAGCAGAAACTCTAAAAGCCAGAAGGGAGTGGCATGATGTACTTAAAGTGATGAAAGGGAAAAATCTACAACCAAGATTACTCTACCCAAGGATCTCATTCAGATTCAGTGGAGAAATCAAAAGCTTTACAGACAAGCAAAAGCTAAGAGAATTCAGCACCACCAAACCAGCTCTACAACAAATGCTAAAAGAACTTCTCTAAGTGGGAAACACAAGAGAGGAAAAGGACCTACAAAAACAAACCCCAAACAATTAAGAAAATGGTAATAGGAACATACATATTGATAATTACCTTAAACGTGAATGGATTAAATGCTCCAACCAAAAGACACAGGCTTACTGAATGGATACAAAAACAAGACCCATATATATGCTGTCTACAAGAGACCCACTTCAGACCTAGGGACACATACAGACTAAAAGTGAGGGGATGGAAAAAGATATTCCATGCAAATGGAAATCAAAAGAAAGCTGGAGTAGCTATACTCATCAGATAAAATAGACTTTAAAATAAAGACTATTACAAGGGACAAAGAAGGACACTACCTAATGATCAAGGGATCAATCCAAGAAGAAGATATAACAGTTGTAAATATTTATGCACCCAACATAGGAGCACCTCAATACATAAGGCAACTGCTAAGAGCTCTAAAAGAGGAAATCGACAGTAACACAATAATAGTGGGGGACTTTAACACCACCCTTACACCAATGAACAGATCATCCAAACAGAAAATTAATAAGGAAACACAAGCTGTAAATGACACAATAGACCAGATAGATTTAATTGATATTTATAGGACATTCCATCCAAAAACAGCAGGATTACACTTTCTTCTCAAGTGCGCATGGAACATTCTCCAGGATAGATCACATCTTGGGTCACAAATCAAGCCTCAGTAAATTTAAGAAAATTGAAATCATATCAAGCATCTTTTCTGACCAAAATGCTATGAGATTAGAAATCAATTACAGGGAAAAAAACGTATAAAACGCAAACACATGGAGGCTAAACAATATGTTACTAAATAACCAAGAGATCAAAGAGGAAAGAAATCAAAGAGGAAATCAAAAAATACCTAGAGACAAATGACAATGAAAACATGACGATCCAAAACCTATGGGATGCAGCAAAAGCAGTTCTAAGTGGGAAGTTTGTAGCTGTACAAGCCTACTTCAAGAAACAAGAAAAATCTCAAATAAACTATCTAACCTTACAGCTAAAGTAACTAGAGAAAGAAGAACAAACAAAACCCAAAGTTAGCAGAAGGAAAGAAATCATAAAGATCAGAGCAGAAATAAATGAAATAGAAACAAAGAAAACAATAGTAAAGATCAATAAAACTAAAAGCTGGTTCTTTGAGAAGATAAACAAAATTGATAAACTATTAGCCAGGGTCATCAAGAAAAAGAGGGAGAGGACTCAAATCAATAAAATTAGAAATGAAAAAGGAGAAATTACAACAGACACCACAGAAATACAAAGCCTCCTAAGAGACTACTACAAGCAACTCTGCCAATAAAATGGACAACCTGGAAGACATGGAAAATTCTTAGAAAGGTATAACCTTCCAAGACTGAACCAGGAAGAAATAGAAAATATGAACAGACCAATCACAAGTAATGAAATTGAAGCTGTGATTAAAAATCTTTCAACAAACAAGTCCAGGACCAGATGGCTTCACAGATGAATTCTATCCAACATTTAGAGAAGAGCTAAGACCCATCCTTCTCAAACTCTTCCAAAAAATTGTAGAGGAAGGAAAACTCCCAAACTCATTCTATGAGGCCACCATCACCCTGATACCAAAACCAGACAAAGATACTCCAAAAAAATTTACAGACCAATATCACTGATGAATATAGATGCAAAAATCCTCAACAAAATACTAGCAAACAGAATCCAGCAATACATTAAAAGAATCATACACCATGATCCTGTGGGATTTAAGCCAGGGATGCAAGTATTCTTCAATATATGCAAATCAATCAATGTGATACACCATATTAACAAATAGAAGAAGAAAAATCATAAGATCATCTCAATAGACGCAGAAAAAGCTTTTGACAAAGTTCAACACCCATTTATGATAAAAACTCTCCAGAAAGTGAGCATAGAGGGAACCTGCCTCGACATAATAAAGGCCATATAGGACAAACCCACAGCAAACATCATTCTCAATGGTGAAAAACTGAAGGCATTTGCTCTAAGATCAGGAACAAGACAAGGATGTCCACTCTCGCCACTATTATTCAACATAGTTTTGGAGGTCCTAGCCACGGCAATCAGAGAAGAAAAAGAAATAAAAGGAATCGAAATTGGAAAAGAAGAAGTAAAACTGTCACTGTTTGCAGATGTCATGATTCTATTCATAGAGAATCTGAAAGAGGCCACCAGAAAACTACTAGAGCTAATCACTGAATTTGGTAAAGTAGCAGGATACAAAATTAATGCACAGAAATCTCTTGTATTCCTATACACTAATGATGAAACATCTGAAAGAGAAATTAAGGAAACACTCCCATATACCATTGCAACAAGAAGAATAAAATACCTAGGAATAAACCTAACTAGGCAGACAAAAGACCTGTATGCAGAAAACTATAAAACACTGATGAAAGAAATTAAAGATGATACCAACCGATGGAGAGATATACCATGTTCTTAGATTGGAAGAATCAATATTGTGAAAATGACTCTACTACCCAAAGCAATCTACAGATTCAATGCAATCCCTATCAAATTACCAATGGCATTTTTTACAGAACTAGAGCAAAATATCTTAAAATTTGTATGGAGACACAAAAGACCCCGAATAGCCAAAGCGGCCTTGAGGGAACAAAATGGAGCTGTAGGAATCAGACTCCCTGACTTCAGATGACAGTACAAAGCTACAGTAATCAAGACAATATGGTAGTGGCACAAAAACAGAAACACAGATCAATGGAACAAGATAGAAAGCCCAGAGATAAACCCCCGCACCTATGGTCAACTAATCTATGACAAAGGAGGCAAGGATATAAAATGGAGAAAAGACAGTCTCTTCAGTAAGTGGTGTTGGGAAAACTGGGCAGCTACATGTAAAAGAGTGAAATTAATACACCACACACAAAAATAAACTCAAAATGGATTAGAGACCTAAATGTAAGACCGGGCACTATAAAACTCTTAGAGGAAAACATAGGAAGAACATTCTTTGACATAAATCACAGCAATATCTTTTTTGATCCACCTCCTAGAGTAATGGAAATACATACAAAAATAAACAAATGGGACCTAATGAAACTTCAAAGCTTTTGCACAGCAAAGGAAACCATAAACAAGACGAAAACACAACCCTCAGAATGGGAGAAAATATTTGCAAATGAATCATCGGACAAAGGATTAATCTCCAAAATATATAAACAGCTCATGCAGCTCAATATTAAAAAAACAAACAACCCAATCCAAAAAATGGGCAGAAGACCTAAATAGACATTTGTCCAAAGAAGACATACAGATGGCCAAGAAGTACATGAAGAGCTGCTCAACGTCACTAATTATTAGAGCAATGCAAATCAAAACTACAATGTGGTATCACCTCACAGCAGTTAGAATGGGCATCATCAGAAAATCTACAAACAACAAATTCTGGAGAGGGTGTGGAGAAAAGGGAACCGTCTTGCACTATTGGTGGGAATGTAAATTGATACAGCCACTATGGAGAACAGTATGGAGGTTCCTTAAAGAACTAAAAATAGAATTACCATATGACCCAGCAACCCCACTACTGGGGTGGTGGGACGAATTGGGCGATTGGGATTGACATGTATACACTGATGTGTATAAAATGGATAACTAATAAGAAAAAAAAATACATTAAAGCCGAGTGGAAATGTAAAGAAAATTCCTAGAAAAAAGAAAAATCATTTGCACCAGCTTGCTTATGTTAACCACTTTGATGTCTGGGTTCCACATAAGTTAAGCAAAAAAAACCTTCTTGACCATATTTCTTCATGTGATTCTCTACCTAGACGTAATGAAAACATTCCGTTTTCAAAACAAATTGTGATGGGCGATGAAAAGTGGACACTGTACAATAATGTGGAACGGAAGTGATCATGGGGCAAGCAAAATGAACCACCACGAACCACACCAAAGGCCAGTCTTCATCCAAGGAAGGTGATGTTGTGTATATGGTTGGATTGGAAGGGAGTCATCTATTATGAGCTCCTCCCGGAAAACCGAACAATTAATTCCAACAAGTACTGCTCCCAATTAGACCAACTGAAAGCAGCACTTGACAAAAAGTGTCCGGAATTAGTTAAGAGAAAACGCATAATCTTCCATCAGGATAACACAAGACCGCGTGTTTCTTTGATGACCAGGCAAGAACTTTTACAGATTGGCTGGGAAGTTCTGATTCCTCCGCCGTATTCACCAGACATTGCACCTTCGATTTCCATTTATTTAGGTCTTTACAAAATTCTCTTAATGGAAAAAAAATCCAATTCCTTGGAAGACTGTAAAAGGCACCTGGAACAGTTCTTTGCTCAAAAAGATAAAAAGTTTTGGGAAGATGGAATTATGAAGTTGCCTGAAAAATGGCAGAAGGTAATGGAACAAAAGGGTGAATACATTGTTCAATAGAGTTCATGGTGAAAATGAAAAATTTATCTTTTATTTTTACTTAAAAACCAAAGGAACCTTTTGCCAACCCAATATAAAAAATAATATCTACGTACAAACATCATTGCCATGTTAGATCATAATCCCCCAAGTTTGGAAGCAATCTAAATGTCCAGCAGTAGGACAATGAAAAAGTATATTGTAGTACAGAAGCAGTTTGTAATATTTTGCAGCTATTTTTTGTGATAAATTTTGTAAGTACAAAATTTATACCATGACTGCAGTTATATGAGAATACGTATATCCTTATGGCAAAGGTCATTTGCTAAAATGAAAATAGTTACTATGTTAGGGTAATACAGTTATAGGTGGTAAATTTTTTTAAATGTTTTGTCTTTTATTTCATTACATACGTGATCATTGAGCTCTGCTAGAGCACTGTTACTATGTTAGAGCCAGAAATTAAAAGGTTAGTAAAAAAAAAAAAAGAGAGAGAAAACCCTCAGAAACTTCATAGGTTTGCGAGGAGACAATCTATTACCACATAATGTGATAGGACCTTTAGTACTTTGTTGTTCTTTTCTAACTGAGAAATCAAAGAAGTAAAAAGAGAACAAAATAACTACGTTGTGCCTTAAACCGTCTTCTCTTTTTTCTTTCTAAGAGCGTATTCGAATTGCACAGGCCCAGGTTTTAGTCTTCATTCGGATATTGTCATGCCCTATATCGCAAACTATGGCTCAGAAGAACAGATTAAGCACTTCATCCCCCAGATGACTGCAGGGAAATGTATTGGTGCCATAGCAATGACAGAGCCTGGGGCTGGAAGGTAAATCAACATTTGGTTGGTTTTGAAATGCTGGAAGCAATGCCTTAACAGCAAATGTTTTCTCAGTACCTGCTTTATACAACACTCTGAGTGATATGCTAAGACAGATACAAAGATGAACACATTGTCATTTCCAACCTTAGGTAACTTCAAATTCCAGTAGGAAAATAAGGCCTTATCATATACAAATAACAACACAGCAGATTGTATTTTATGTTGTATGTGAGATATTAACATAGTGTGATGTAAATAAAATGTTAGAATATGTGTTGAATTTGGGGCACGTTGAATTTTAGATGTGATGTGACATTTCACATGGAAATGTCCAGCAGCCTATTAAAAATATGGATTTGGAAGTCTGGATACAGGCTGGGGGTGGCAATAGGCTTTAAAACCATTCATAGATAAGAAAGAATTGAAGCAATGGAAATGAATAAATCATTTAGTCATTTGATGGTTACTTAATAAGTGCCTTCCGTGTGCCAGGTATACAGTGGTAATCAAACCAGATGTGGTCTGTGTGCTTGTTGAGGAGAAAGACAAACATGTAAACAAATATATTTAGATTATGATAAGTTCTATGAAGGAAACAAGGTGCTGTGTTAGAGACTCATGGTGCATGTGTGTTTGGTGGGGAAGGGAAAAACTCATATTTCGATATGACTGCTAGGGAAGACCTATAAAAAGTGGTTATATTTAAACTGAGATCTGACCATTGAGAAATTTGCAAGAGCAGCCATGTGGTGGGACCTGATCCTCAAGGGGTAAAGTGAAAGGATGAAAAGGAGACCAAGAAGGAAACCTTGGGCATTGCATTCCATTTGGAACTGTACAGAAGATGTAGTGACAGAGACAGAAGGATTGAGTTTGAAGGAAATCTAGACAACTGCTGTTTCATGAGCTTGAGGGGAAGTGAGTTTGAAAAGGCAGTAGGAAAGGAGTGAGAAGTTAGTAATGTCAAGGCCACAGAGATGTTGAGAATTGAGAAAGAGTCATGGCAGCCAGTGGTGATCTTTTGATTGTGATTTCAGGAGAGAGGAGAGACAGAAGTTACTTTTGAAGGGAGTGAGATGGGTATTGAGAAAACAGAGGCAGAAAAGACAGACTGATACTTTCAGAGTTGTGTGTTATATGGCGAAAGAAAGTGTAGAGAGGGGACAGTAATTTGACAAGCCAGCATGGTCAGGGAAATGGCTTATGTTGAAGAGAGCAGTGACTAACAGGCCAATGGGAAACAGGCAGTGCAGAGGAAGAACTTACAGATGTGGCAGAAGCAGTAATTGAAAATTCAAGACTTGTTTCTGCAAGATCAGGCCCTGATATTTTAAAATTTTTGTCGGTGCTGTTTATTTATATGGCTGCGGTGCGGCATGCAGGATCTTAGTTCCCCGACCAGGAATCGAACCTGCACCCCCTGCAGTGGAAGTGCAGAGTCTTAACCACTGGATGGCCAGGGAAGTCCCAGTGCTGCTTATTTTTAAATGTCTTAGTATGCCATAGGGTTACTTGGCAATTTGCTTAAATTGTACTTATCTTTCCCAGATATAAATCTATAATTAAAGGCCAATATAGAAATTTAATTTTGCCAAGATAAAAAGGTTTTGTTGGGAATTCCCAGTGGTTAGGACTCCGTGCTCTCACTGCCAGAGGCCTGGGTTCAATCCCTGGTCAGGGAACTAAGATCCCACAAGCTGCACGGTGAGGCCAAAAAAAAAAGTTGTGTTTACTTTTTTGCCTAAAAATGTGACCTGAAAGAAGTAGGAATTTAATCATCTTCCTTTGCTTTTAAGATAACTCTCTAAGATAACTGGCCTAATGGCCAATATTCTGATTGCATCTTATTAGCTCACGATCAGTATGTTTTAGTTCCAACCCACTGTATGTCAGCGCTCGCCTAGAGGCAAAAGTATCAGTGAGAGATCTTGATTTATCCCCAACTTCAACACATACCCACAAAGGCTTGCTTGATTTGTGTTTTCTTGAAAATTCTCTGTGCTTCTATAACAAATTACACAAACTGGGTGGCTTAAAACAACAGAACTTTATTCTCTCACGGTTCTGAAGGCCGGAAGTCCAAACTTGGTATCAGTGGTCCCAAATCAAGGTATCAGCAACCCCAAATCAAGGTATCAGCAAGGCCACAGTCCCTCCAGAGGTTCTAGGGGAGAATCCATTCCTTGATTCTTCCATCTCCTGGGGGCTGCCGACATTCCTTGCTTTGTGGCATCATGACTCCAATCTCTGCCTCTGTGGGCATGTTGTAATGTCCCTCTTTAGTCTGTGTAATCTCCCTCTGCCTCTCTCTCACAAGGACACTTGTGATTGCATTAAGGACCCATCTAGATAATCCAGAATTATCTTCCCATCTCAAAGTCCTAAATTAATCACATCTGCAAGACCCTTTTTCCATATAAGGTAACACTTAACAGGTTCCAGAGGTTAGGACCTGCTATCTCTAAGGGTCATTATTCAGCATGATACAGAGAGTGATAAAGTGCCATGGGATATATAATACAAAGTCCATGTACAAAAAGGAGAATCAGAAAATTTTCACAAAATAAGTGATGTGGACTATTTAATATATGATGCTGTTCATTGTAGGATATCTTTGAAAATTGGAAGTGGAAACTACCTAAGTCTTCAACAATAGCAGATTGCTTTAAAAGATTCATGATGAATCCAATGCATTTGGTTTCAGGTCCCTTCCCTGATCTTTGGTCATGATTGAGTTTGTCAATGTCCCCCTTAATTTCTAGTTTTAGAAATCATACTGTATTACTTTACAGTGTATAAGAGAAGGATATCAGATATCTACCCCCTTGAGTTCTAAGTGGTTGTATCACCACGGCATGAGATCTAGAAAGGCATGAGGCAGTAGTCACAAATGGGGCAGTTCATAGGACCTATGGAAGCCCTGGAATGTGTTTAATTTGGTTAATCTATTTAATTTAAAAACAAACCTTGAATCAACTTTAAAAGCCAGAAAAATGTACGTAAACATCCATATTCCTGGATTTTCTTGAAAATTTGGAACATCTGACAATACTATGTTTTTCTTATTTCTGATTCCTTATTCCTGTTGGCTGGGACATAGCCCTTTAGATGGGATATGAGCTCTCCAGTCTTTTAGATGCACCACCACTTCCAGTTGTCTCCCTGAAACCATCTATTATTGAATCCTACCTGCTGGATTTCCTACTGTAAAGAAATCTCTCTTAAAAGATAAATGAAGAAGGCTGTCAATGTTTCCAAAAAGTGAGACGGAATACTTGTTTGTGGAAATAAATAATATTCTTGTGTGTTTAAAAATATATATCATAACAGTAGTTCATATGATGAAATTCTATGCCACTACTAAAAGTTTTCTTATAGAAAAACGTTAGATATTATTAAAAGATCAGCATCATATGTATGGTTCCAATTTTATAAAAATACATATATATATCTGTGTATCTGTTTCCATAGAAAAATACTGGAAGGTTGTATTTTTTAAATGTTTATTACAGAAGGTAAAATTGTTTTTTTAAATTTTTTCATTTTTCTCCTTTGTCTTGAATATTGCCTGTATTTTTCATATTAAATTAAGAATATTTGTTTAGTTTATATCTAGAAAAATAACCTATTCTACTTGTAGAGCAGGCTTGTTAGAGGACGTAGCATTTGAGACATAGTCTTTTTTTTTTTTTTTTTTGGCCATGCTGCTACGTGGCTTGTGGGATCTTAGTTCCCTGACTAGGGATTGAACCTGGGCCCTCAGCAGTGAAAGCACGAAGTCCTAACCACTGGACCACCAGGGAATTTCCGACATAGTCTTTTAAATAGCTAAGCTTTTGAACAGTAGAGATAGGGGAAGGAACCAAAGTGAACAAAGGCAGGAAAGGTACATGGGCAAATAATCTGAGGTATATAGTAGGCATTGAAATGTCTTCTGAGTCCAGTCTGAGGGTCTTGGAAGCTAGTTGGGCCTTGTTATGCTCTATAAAATCTGGTTAGTCTATGTAATCTCAATCAAATATTCATTTGTATAAATAGTTTAGCATATGTCAGACATGACTTTTCAGTGCATTTGTGTGAACGTTCCTAATATTAGTTAAATGTCAATTTTTATAATGGTGTAACCAGTTTGAATTATCACAATAGATACATACTTACATAACATTTACATAGTTCATTTATTACCAATTAATGAATTTTTTATCCTCTCAATTATAGTGATTTGCAAGGAGTGAGAACAAATGCCAGAAAGGATGGAAGTGACTGGATTCTCAATGGAAGCAAGGTGTGTAAAGATGGGCTTCCATAGCCCTCCTCCCCGGAGTCATGCTGTGGGTAACAAAGCCTCAAAGACTACTCATCATTGAGTCTCTCAGATCTAGGGACTCACACAGGAACTGAGTTTACTTGAGTTGGCACAGGAATTGAACTGCTTTGTTTTGGAGACAGTAAAAATTGTACAACATTTATGTTACGTGAGATCTATTCCTCTTCTGTGTTCCTTTTGCATGCCCCCTCACTAATATGAAAAACGTTTTAGCTTCCAAACAGCCCTTATCAAACCAGAAAAGGAAAAGGTGAGGTTCACATTGTCCAAATAGGGGACAAAGAGTTAATAGTTAATGAATTTGATGTTGGTAAGAAGTGGAAGAAAAGACTTATAAATAAATATCAAGAAGAGTTTCAAAAGATGTTAGGAAAGATATTTCTGATGGAATTTGAGAGCCCTTCAACGCTTCTGAGCCTCACATCAACCCACTGATAAGATTGGAGAGCACCTCTGATTAAGGTTACAGACAGGCTCAGAAGTAAATATATCCTTCAGAATCTAATATCACTGATGGCAGAGGTTTTTGTTTACCTAAAACTGTGTCTGGTATACACTCAGTAACTATTTGTTGTTGACTGAATATTAAGTGAAGAAAAGATATTCATTGTCTACACTAAGGAAACCTTGCTAAAAATGTTTCAAAGCCTGGTGAAGAGCTAATTTTTGTTTTTATTCCTTCAACGTTTAAAAAATATTTATTAGTTTTAGACTAATACCTTCGCATTTGCAAAATCACAAGCTTGAATGTTGTGACACTTAAATTGCTATGAAATTTTCTAAACAGTCACTTTCCGTACTTACATTGTTAAGGACTAATAACAGTTTGTGGACTGACAAACTGTTCATCAGTCTGATGAATACGTTTTGAGTAGCCCAGTTCTAAAGACCATTCCATTATCTAGTTTCATAGTTATTATACAGAAAAACAATGTCTGTGATGTCAAATAAATTTGGAAAACATGCTCTACTTCTCACTTTCTGAGAGACTGATACGCATCATGAACTTCTAAGAGTTGGATATAGTATGTCTTTTGCCCTAGGAAATTCTCTTTTTATAGACTTATCTTGAGTTACTGTTGTTTTTCAAATATACTTTATGAAATATTCATCTACATTATTCATACTAAGGATTATAATAAAGCACTAACTGTGATATATAGTCAATTAACTCTTTGCACACAGAAGGGCTTGTTTTGACAGAATAGGGTATTTGGTGAAAAGTGAAATGGGAACCACGCTCTTCTATGACTCCAGCTTTAGAAAGGCCCAGCAGGCCCAGTCTGCTCAATTAGACTCTTCAGTGGGAACCACCCAGGAAAGTACCTCTGATTTTCAAAAATTCTATTAGGAAAAACAAAAACTTTAGAGGAAGCAAAAGTAAAAGAATGAGTAAGTAAATATACTACATCAATAAGATGATCTAATATGCACCCATTAAAGCATCAACACAAAATTTTTAGTGGTATAGGAAAATAATTATATTAAGTGAAAAGACGATACTAACATTTAAGTGAAGTATGCATATAAAATGTAAATATAGAATAATTTCAACTATATTAAAAGAAAAAAAGACCAGAAAGGAAGTTCACAATGATATTTATATGATGGACTCATGGAAGATTTTTTTTTCCCTTTTTCTTTATAACACTTTTTCTTTATGTACTATCTACACAACATCTACAAAGAGCGTATGGCATAGGCATTCAATACTAAAAAATAAAATAAAAATAAAAAAAATATTGACCTCACTAGGGTTAATCTCAGCCCTATTAAAAGTTTTGACTGTCATAATTAGGAAAGAAATCAAGAAAGCCCTTTCTTACAAAGAGAATTCTCTTATAATTTTATTAGGAAAGAGGATCAGTCATGGTAGAAATACTCACATTAGATATTAGTAACATAAAGGTACTAATTCCTGGGTGCTCTGTGATTAAAAACAAACAAAAAAGCACTATTTCAGCAATTCAACTGTGGCAACTACACAAATGGTCATTATTATCTTAGACAGTTAGGAAATTGGGAGACCTGAATGGTTTTTGAGGAAGAGAGTGGTGTAATGGAGAAACACTGTAGAAAAAATTTTTACCATGATTTTTTTTTTGTTTTTGGCCCGCTGTGTGGCATGCAGGATCTTAGTTCCCTGATCAGGGATCACACCTGTGCCCCTGAAGTGGAAGAGCAGAGTCCTAACCACTGGACCGCCAGGGAATTCCCTAGAATTATTTTTGAGGAATATATTTTTCTCATTTATTCAACAAACATCCTTGAAGGCCTACTATATGCCAAATACTATACTAAGCACTGAGGATAGATATATGAATAGGAAATAGTCCCCGCCCTCAAGGAGCTCCTAGTACAGAGAGATGTTGAGAGTCTTTTATTGTTGTGTCACTTACAACCATACCATCATCATTGCCTTCATTTGCTGTCATGTAGATAACACTAACATCATTAGCCCACTTCCCATTATTTGTAAGAATCAGTGCTCTGGATTTTAGAGCATAAATCTTATTATAAAGGACATGGATGGTAGGTGATGAGAGTAACCAACACCATTTTATACCTGTACTATTTCAAAGGGACAGAGGCAAAATTAGATCATTTGAATCTAGCTTGGAAAATGCTAAGATGATGGTAAATTCAGGATGCTATGGGAACACTTAACCCAGCTTGGGGAATTTGGAAGGACGTTTTGTTTTTGTTTTTTTCAGCCGCGCTGCGTGGCTTGCAGGATCTTAGTTCCCTGACCAGGGATTAACCTGCGCCTTCGGCAGTGAAAGCGTGGAGTCCTAACCACTGGACTGCCAGGGAATTCCCTGGAAAGACTTTTTGGAAGAGGTGGTGTCTGAACTTTGTCCAGGTTGAGTAGGATTCATTGTAGCAGAGTTGGGAAAGAGCCCCCCAAGTAGAGGAAACAAGATTTCCAAAGACCCATAGATGAGGAAGAACTTAGAATATGGGGGACAGCAAGTAATGCAGTAGAGTTAATCTACAGAAAACAAGTGAGGGGAAAATTGGATAAGAGATAAGGCAGGAATGTAAGCTAGTGCCAATTTGTGATGAGTTTTATATGCCCTGCTAAGATTTAGAATTTATCCTGAAGCTATGATGAGGTATTCAAAAATTTTCAGATGTGAAAGTAGTATGATTAGATTGCATTTTTGAAAGATCCCTCTGACATCATGATGGATAATAGAGTTGCATAGAGATCAGTTGTAGGAACTTAACCAGGAAATGATGAGGCCCAAAATAAGGTAATGGCAATAGAAGTGAAAGGAAGTGACTGGATTTAAAAAGTGTTGAAATGGGTTAGAGAGAACTAGATGTCAAATTGAATATGAAGCAGGATAATAATGTGATTTACTGACACCGTTCACTGACACAGGGAAAATAGATTGATACTCAAGATTAAATAGGAGTAGGGGTGATTAAATAGGAGTAGGGTATTCCTTGAGTCATCAGGTGAAACTATCCAGAAGCAGGTGTGTATACAGGTCTGGAACCTAGCAAGAAATTTGGCTTCGATAAAGATTTGGAGTCATCAGCATATGGATAGCAACTAAAGCCATGGAAAGTGGCTGAGAGGACCCAGGAAAGATACAGAGTGAAAAGATAATTATTCATATTTGCTCTGTGTATATTTGTTTTCTGAATAAATACTATCTGATAAACTAATATCTCTGTTATTTTATCCCTTCTTAATCAGCATCTTCCTTATTTAGGCCATTTGGAAAGAGGTAGGCCATCCATCATGAAATCGAAACTATGCCTTTTCAAAAACTGATAAATCTGAAAGTTCAAATACTTTAATAGTATCGTGCCATTCAAAGGAGATTCTGTTTTCTCACCTGAAACTTCTAAAATATGGTTTATCATTTTTATAGACAATTTTGTTTTAATTGGAAAAGAACATAATAATGTTAATTATTATTATTATTTACAATACTAATAGTGGGAAGAAAATGAATAGAGTTCATTCTTTGAAGCATTGGATAATTTCCCCCTACTCTTTACTAACCTCATGTATGAATAATCAACACTGCAGATATTCGGAGAGAGTACAGAGAGAGGTATGAAGCATGTTTTGTCCGGTTTAGTCTTCTTGAGTATACTTTCCCCTGATCATGACTTACACATGGACCTGAGTTATTGTGGAGCATCACAGTATACTTGGGGTTTTTCAGGTATTCATCACTAATGGGTGGCTAAGTGACGTTGTGATCGTAGTGGCGGTCACAAATCGTGATGCTCGCTCTCCTGCCCATGGCATTAGCCTTTTTCTGGTGGAAAATGGAATGAAAGGATTTGTCAAGGGACGAAAGCTACATAAAATGGGACTAAAAGCCCAGGTAAGTCAAAATGTAAATTTGTTTTCATAATATAAATCATTTATAAATATAATTCATATTTATTATTTATAAATAATTGAGTTTACTCAATTATGCTTTATATATGGAACTACATATAGCACAATCATACCTTCCTTCCTACGCTGGATTCTTAAAATATGCTTTTCAGAAATGATTATGGAAATTTATTCCACTGTTTATGCAACTGTGGTCAGCAATTGAAGTGAATCAGGGTATTTTGAAAATCTGCTTTAGAAAATTAACTGCATGATAATACCCTCTATTTTTGAAATTGAAGAAAATTATGAAATAAGAACAGAAAATATTTTTTCTACTATTTGGTAATTATTTGGTAATTTTTCATTACCAAAAAGAAAAACATGTTTTACTTGATATGCATTAGAAATCCTTAGTCCTCAGTACCTGCAGAATTGGACGGTATTAGAGCTAGAATGACAGTGTATTGCAGTGGGAAAGCCACTTTTGGAATCAGATAGACTTGGGTTTGAATCCCTGGTTTACCACTTACCAGTTGTGATCATTAACCACTCCAACTTGGCTTCCAGTTTGTTTTGTTTTTGTTTTTTCAATGGAAATAATAATCACCTCATCAGGTTATTGGGAGATTTCAGTGAGATAATTCTGTATTCAATTGTATGATCTCTTAGGATACTGCAGAATTATTCTTTGAAGATGTACGTTTGCCAGCGCGTGCCCTACTTGGAGAAGAGAATAAAGGCTTCTATTACCTCATGCAAGAGCTTCCACAGGTCAGAAGTATTAAAGAGTCCGTCTTTTGATTAGATAATGGACTGGAATAGAATAATATAGAACTATATAAATCCATGCATACAAAACTTGTGATATAGCCAGTCATTTGAGTATAACTTGAAGTTGTAAAAAAAAATATATGACTTTTTTAGGCTGGACATGTGAATAACTGAACTCAGGGATATCCAATCAAAGCTTATAAGTGAATCAGGAAAATAAGATTTTCAGTTCTATGATTCCTTCTTGGAATGATTTTAGTGTCTTAACTACAAATCAAGAATTTTTAGCTCTTTGTAACGAAATATCAGCCAAAATATTTACCAGGTTTTTTTTTGGGGGGGGGTTGTTCTTTTTTAATAATACCTGGGAATCAAAGAAAGCTGTTAAGTTCAGACTAAAAAGTTTTAGCCAAATAGGGTCAGCCCTCACTTCCGTGTTTTTTGGAGTGTCAGCATAAGAGGATGCATCTGTCTGGTGACAATCACAGCATGCACTAAACATGAAATGGGACAAGGACTAGGGTCACTGGCACAGAATAGAATATGAAAATCACCAGCAAGATGGAATTAAACTGACTATGGCTGCTTTGCACTAATTCAACCTATGCCCTTTAAAAATGTTGATTTCCTCAGGTATATTAGATGTGTGGTATGCAGAGATCAATAAATAAAAATCGACAACTTTGGAATTTCTTTTCCCATAGATGAGTAAAGAGAAGAGGAAAATAAATTACTTATATACCTATATAAAGACAGTCATTCATAAAAATAAAATTTTTTTTAGAGACATATATGTATCAAAATAGTCTTAGAAATCTCAGGGGGAGTCTTTTCTTATAAAGAGTTAAGAAATAATCTTTAGGAGTTTTATAAAGATTATGCAATTTATTTTCATTGAAATCATGTGAAAATCACTTGTGTAATTAGAATAATGTTCAAGACCTAATTTTGGGGTTATAGGAAAGGCTACTGATTGCTGAGTTGGCAGTTTCAGCCAGTGAATTCATGTTTGAAGAAACCAGGAACTACGTTAAACAAAGAAAAGCTTTTGGGAAAACAATCGCACATATACAGGTAAGCTTGTCATTAGTATTAGATAGTATCAGTTTACTCATCTGAGATGGGTCTAGGCTAAACATGAATATGGAGTAATTTTCATACAGGTGGTATCGACTGAAAAAATATGCACAACTTAAAAGTTGAGAATTTTGTTTTATTTGGTGCACAGCACTAAGCATGTAAGCACGAAATACAGCCTCTCAGATAGCTCTGAGGGACAGTTCCAAAGCGGTAAGGGAGGAGCCAGGGTACATAGGAGTCTTGCAACAGAAACCAGGTGGTCGGAACATCAAAAGATCACTGTTAATTAAAGAAAACCAGGCTTCTCAAAGTAATGAACTTATCACTTTTCTATGTATGGGAAGATCCAAGAGTCTGTGCTCATTGAAATGACTCCTCTGATATGCACCTTAACTATCTAGGGCCAGTATCCTGCTTTTCTCCATCCTGACTCCCCTCAGGGTGCACATTTGGGGGCTGCTGCAGTGGCTGCTGGCTTGATGGCTGCAACATCCATTGTTTATCTATGTGGCAGGCAACATTTTTCATCCACGGTGACATTAGAATCCATGGAAGTGGATGAGATCACTTAGGGAGAGAGTAGAGATTAAGACAAAAGAGATCCTAGGACAGAGTCCTGAGAAAAAAATTACAAGATTTAAAGGTAGGATAGGAAACTAAGAGCCTACAAAGAAAACTGAGACAGCTAGAAAGGAGAAAGCAAATCGGGCAAGTATTGTTGTAGTAGCCAAGAGAAAAGAGGATTTCAAGTGGATGGAAGCTACTTAGAGGGAAAATGAGATGAAGGTCAAAGAGTGCCCATTGGACATAATGATATGGAGGTTATTTCATAAGAGCCATTAATGGACTGGTGTGGTGCCAGACCCCAGTGAGTAGAGCAGTGAATGGAGATGAGGAAGTCAAGATACTGATGAGTGGCAACTCTTTCCTGAGTTTGGCTGTGAAGTAGCTGAGAGAAAGGATGGTAACTAGAAGGCAAGAAGAGGAGGGTGAGGAGGGAGGGAGGGAAATATCTGGAGATCAAGTGAAATATTTGGAGATTATTAATTTTTGTTATTATTATTAGGATGAGAATGCTAGAGCATATTTTAATACCTAGACAAAGGATTTAGTAAAGAGGGAAAGATTGTAGGTATGGAGAGCATAATTAACTGCATATGATCTTTGAGACAGTGTGAAGGTGTGGATGCCAAAGTTTCAATACATGGAAAGATAGGCCTTCCCATCCTGACAGGAGAGGAGTTTCCTCCACTGAAACAGGAAGGAAGGAGGAAAGGATGAGCAAGAGTTCAGCTCCGTTGGTAGAAAATTGCAAAAGCTCTCTTCCAGAGACTTCCGTATCTTTCCTTATCAATAGGGAAGAAAGAGATGTGAGTGAATGGGGCATGGAGGTAAGGAAGGTTTGAAATACCTTCTTCAGAGTGAGAGACTGAACTAACTAGAGACACTTACAGTAAGCTTCCTGGCAGTATTGAGGACCCAAATCAGGTTAGTGATCGTGCACTTATAGCGGAATCTCCTGCTTTTTTGTGTATTAGCTTTACTAAAAGGGTTTTGCTCCCCAGGTTCAAGCACAGAGAAGGTGGATGATTGTGTTTAAACTTCCTGGGTTTTGCCAAGAAGTTTAAGTTATTTGCAGAAGAACTCAGTATATGGTAGCCATAATCACTAAAATATCAATCAAATTTTAGACCCTCTAGTCTCTCCTTAAAATGAAGGAACAGCTTTTAAGTAATGCAGTCATCAAAAAAACTGGAGTTGGAAGTCTAATTGAAAATTTCTAAGTGGAATGTCTTGGCTGAAAGGTGTTGTGAAGGGAAAGGGAAAGATGAAATACTTTGTTAACTTTTTAGGACAGCATTATAGAAGTTAAGTTCAGGTGTGGTTTAAATCCTAGTACAGCTACTTAAGTCTCTGTGGTCTATGCAAGTTGTATTATCTCTCTCAGAAGTACTTTCTTATTGTTAAGATGTGAGTAATATGAGTAGCTACCTCATAGAGTTGTTATGAAGATTAGGTGAGACAATACGCTTCTAATAAAGTGCTTAGAATATTGCCTGGCAAAGCGAGCTTTCATTAAAGTTAGCTATTACAGTTGACCCTTAAACAACACAGGTTTGAACTGCACAGGTCCATTTACATGTGGATTTTTTTCAATAAATACATTGGAAAAACTTTTGGAGATTTGTGGCAACTTAAAATGTGCAGACGAACTGTATAGCCTAGAAATATCGAAAAAATTAAGAATAAAGGTATGGCACGAATGCATAAAATATGTGTAGATACTAGTCAATTTTATCATTTACTACCATAAAATATACAGAAATTTATTGTGAAAAGTTAAATTTATCAAAACTTATGCACACAAACACTTATAAATCATGCAGTACAGCTGATTGCACTAGGCTACCATAAAGCAATCATATTTCTGTTTCTTTGTTATCGATGCATGAATCTTCTTACCGATAAATTACATTTCTTTTTCATGTAATTTTTTCATTTTGAGAAATGTTGATATACATGATTTGTTTCACTGAGCAAGTATGTATTGATTGCCTTCTGAAGGTTGTGTGTTCAAATGTAATTTGATAGGCATGACTCTGGAAATACACATTATAACCTCCTAGCAACACAAAGAGAGTGATACTACTTGGTATCACTCTGACTTTCCCAACTGTATCCGAAGTGGAATTAATGTCATTTGCTTCTCAAAATGTTTATTAAAATACTCATGCCTTTAGCCCTATTCTGGATACTATAAAAAGTGAACCAAACAGACATATTTTTCCATCCCCTTGGTAATCTACACTTCCTGCGTTTATGAACTTCATATAAAATCACAACAAAAATGACTATAATATTACCGAGATTGCTTGTATAGCTCAGAACATTAAATGTTATTTGACATTTAACCATGAAAAAAAACTAGAAAATCGGTATAATATTTACACATAGGAGGAAAAGTTTCTTCCAAAATATTTATTTATTTAATAATATATATGTGTATATATGTATTTTGATAGCAAAAAGAAAATAAATATTCTTAATCCTTTTCAAAGCAAGTGCCATTTTATTGCTGCCTTCTTTCAAAGGTAGTTTACTAAAATTTCACTAGGTGGCAGTAGCATTCTGCTTCCACACGTATCTATAGCATTGGCGGGAGCCGTATTGTTTTCCCAGTAAATATGTGGTTCTGAGATTTCTGAGATATTTCTTCTAATCTTCTTTTTTATATAAATAAGTATCTTTGAATAATATTTTCATATTCAATCTAGATATGTATTCAGAGAAGATGAATAACCAATAAGTGCTTATACCTCCTGCTACAGAGCTGGATATACAATGGTTCCAGTATTAAATTGAAATAGGAGACCTTTAAATGTTATATATTATATTTGGCAAAATCTCATTTTTATGACCATATAACGATTCAGTTTCCTTTCTCTTTGATATTCTTGAATTTTGAGCCTTTCTGACCACTTGCATGCGTTTCACGAAATTTATTTTCTTTTTTTTAAAATTTTTTTTAGTAGATCTTGAGTTTTTAACTTAATTGTGATGCTATGTATTTATTTATTTATTTATTTGTGGCTGCATTGGGTCTTCATTGCTGTGCGTGGGCTTTCTCTAGTTGTAGCGAGCGGGGGCTACTCTTCATTGCGGTGTGCGGGCTTCTCGTGGTGGTGGCTTCTCTTACTGCGGAGCACGGACTCTAGGCACGCGGGCTTCAGCAGTTGCGGCTAGCGGGCTCTAGAGCGCAAGCTCAGTAGTTGTGGTGCGTGGGCTCTAGAGCGCAGGCTCAGTAGCTGTGGGCCACGGGCTTAGTTGCTCCGCGGCGTGTGGGGTCTTCCCGGACAGGGGATCAAACCTGTGTCCCCTGTATTGGGAGGCAGATTCTTAACCACTGCACCACCAGGGAAGTCCCTAAAATTTACTTTCTTTTTAGAATGGAGACCTACCATACTTAAGTTGCGATAGTTACAGGATTTTCATGTTGTCTCATCCATACTCTCCATAGCTGCTGTCAAGTCTCATGATTTTCTATGGAATGGACAATACAATAGTAAAATTCAGATATTAAATAATGATAATGTCTGTCATTGATTGATGTTCCCTATATGCCAGGCACTGTGCCACATGGATTGTCTTTTTTTTCTTCGCAACTCCATATAATAAATATTATATTTATCCTTATTTTACAGATAAGGATATTGAGGCATGAAGAGGTTAAATAACATGCACAAGATTAAAAAAGTATTTGAACTCTGGAACCTACACTCTTAATGCATTCACTAGTTTTACTACCCAGAAATCTAAGGTAGATAGACTTTTTCTGTTCTCACCTCTTTCACCCATGGGCAATGAAGTGAAAGTTCAGTGTTCTTTTCTAACACAAGCTTTAGTTATTTCTTGTGTGGTATGTGCTCTTGATTCTAAGGGGACAAAGTATTAGGGAAAAAATAGGAGAGGCAACAAATAACATTTCTTCTTTACATTTCTCCAAAAAGGGAATATTTCGTTCTTAGACCTTGAGTGTGGGGTTAATTAACTATAAAATCAGGTAGCAAACCTAAGTTGTTGTAGTTTATACTTGAGTTGTAATATATTAGAGTACACCTAATGGTGATGTTTAAATGGAATACTGGGCTCAATAACTTCTCCAAGGGGTCTTCCAATTCCATGATTCTAAGAACTGTGTTATTCAGAACTCTTAAAGAGATGCCATCTGATCCACTTTGCAACTTTAGGGGAACTTTTTTAAATAAAATGCTAGCTGCAGTATTATCTATGAGTGACTATTAATGAATGTTAAAAAATATTGCTGTGAGCATGCTGATCATTCACCAAAAGCACCTGCTAATAATGTGTGGTACAATTATTACCTACCATTCATTAGAGAACAATTTCTGAAAGCATGATGCAGTGTTTGCAGTGAAGAGCAAAGACTAAATCTGTTTGGTAACACCCAACTCAATGCCAAGAGTATGTAAGTATTTTATCTCTTATCCCCCCGAGAGTAACTTATGCACTCTTGCTGGCATTAATTCTGTCAAACCTGTTGACCTGAATGCACTGAAGCAAGAATTTTCTAAATGAGCCCATTCTGGTCTGAAATTTAACTTCAGCTTCTAGAAGCTCCTAGCATTTCCATAGAAACACCTCTCTTATGAGATAATTGGGCTTAGAGATCTTGAATCTCTCATATTGTAAATAGTAATTTCTCAAATGTGCCATCGCAGGGTGGGGAGGCGGTGTGCAGTAGTATCTTGAGAATTGTCAGATTCCCCCTTATGTTCCAAATGAAGTGTCATGGGCAGTGTCATTGACCTACACCAAGAGTAAGCCAAGACCTCAGTTTCAGGGATTTTCATGGAATATGTTAGTCATCTGTGTTCAATATATGGAAGGGTATTCCCCTGCTTTTTCATTTCCTGTTATCTTCAGATTCTTCTGTGAGTACACTTGGATGTGTGGGGTGGGGGTGGGAAAATTTGTGCTGATTAAAGGTTAGAGATTTGGCCTCATTAAATAGAAATGGATAGAAAGGGAGGTAGAAAAAGTAAGAGAAAGTATGAGAGAGGAAGAAAGTTTTGGTAAACCTGGCATGTTCTAAATTAGAGGCCAGGATACAAGAGGTGGAAAAGTGTGGTGCCAGCCTCCCCACTGCTTGGCTTTAGAATCATTAGATGCCAGTCACATTGTCTATTTCTAGAACAGGATGGAGTAAGCCCATGGGAAAGGCAGTCAGTTTGGGTTTTCCATCAGCGTAGTAGTTATGTTCATACACATATGAGGAGTCTGTCCCTCAGAGCTCCTTCTCCAGCTGACAACACCCTGGTCTTGCCTGGTCCTGGGTCGTCTTATACTCCTTTTCTACTCTTTTCCAGAAATGGTAAGAACCCAAACTGTCTCCACTACAATGATGCTTTTAAGGGTTTGGTTTTGTGGTTTGAGATTGCTGTAACAAGTAGCAAAGGCAGGTCAACATCCTCTGAATATCTGGTCCAGGAAGCCTTCTTCTGAGAATGCAATCATGGCTTTGGACTTGCCACTACGTACGTTGGGTGCGTTCATAATTTCTAGTTTGAGTTTCACTGTGCCACCAAGTTAGTGCCACTGTCATTAACTTCCATGCCTTTTATTAGCCACAGTGAAGGTCTCACTCATAAATTCCAAGCAGAATGATCAAAACTCTGTTCCTATCTGAATTTCCACAAGGAAGATAGAGCCAGCTGACCATAGCTGAGCCTTGAACTTGAGCTCAAGTAGAACAGGGTGTATTTTTGGAGGTTACCCAAAGTGGAAAGCCAGTAGTATTTCAAATTCAAGCCGGTTTCCTGAAGGTGGTTCAAGAGTTGGTGCCAAAGAGACCACATGAAAACTCAGAGTTCAAGGTGTGAGAGCCAAGAGTCAGGAATGCAAGAAAATTTGATTGAAGTTAGAGCAATCAAGAACAACTGAGGATGGTCTAGATAGAATGATTTCCAAGAATACTATTGGTTGTCTGTGGCCAGCAGGAGGAGGTATATGTGTATGTTATCGCTGACAATTCCAGACCATTCAGTTCAAGTTAGAGACTGTGCAAGCTATTGAAAGAGATAAGAGGGAGGGCAGGGAAAGGTGGAAGAGGTTGGGGGGTACTGGACTTTGATGTCATGAGTGTTCTAATTCTGTTATTCTCCCATTGAATTCTACAGATCTAGATTAAATACTTTGCAATATAAAATAATAATGTCTAATAAATATTTTTGATGTTGTCCCTCCAGCTTGTTATTTTATTACTTTACTCCCAGACAAAAAAGCAGAAAATGTGTATACTTAATTTCATTAATAGAGAAAAATTCTTCATGGATTTAGATTCTGGACAAAAATAGGTGTTTTCAACAGCTGTACCTAAAGGACTGTACCTCAAGATGGTGTTCACCCATTAAAGTCATGCTGTTTTTCAAAAAGTTCCCTAGATGGTCTAAATTTTTTAACCTAAAACATGAAATGTTATTTATCTATTTATCTACTTTTGCATCTTATCTTTTAGTACAAGTTTTCTTAGCAATGAAATATAGTGGGTTTTTAATTTGAGCTGTTTAGTTAACATATGCCTCTTTTTGGAGAAAAAAAACAGTAATTCCACTTTTGTTTTGCTCTAAAGATATTTTACTGTATAATTTTTGATATGCTAAGTGACTCAAAATATGCTCTTCTCCTATGCTCATCTTTTCCTTTCATTTCCTTTAAACTCAAGACAGTGCAGCATAAGCTAGCAGAATTAAAAACACACATTTGTGTAACCAGAGCTTTTGTGGACAGCTGTCTCCAGCTGCATGAAACGAAACGTCTGGACTCTGCCACTGCTTCCATGGCGAAATATTGGTATGCATGCTATGGTAATTAAAATGTGGTGTTTGCACAGATTGTTATGGAATTCCTCCAACTTGACACTCAGCCTTGAGGGTCTTAAAGGAAGAAGGCTAAGTAAATGAAAACTAGCAATAAGAACCACCTTTTTAAAAAATGCTGAAGGGCCCCATTAAACATATAAATTTATAATGTGCTAAAACTTACTCAAGTTGGTTTTTAACTTTTAGCTTGCCATTGAAAGTAAAATATTAAGAGACTAAAATAGGATGACTGATTAGTTCATTCAAATAGTAGTTTAATCTCAAATTATCTGAAGAGTGGCAGTATAGTGAGATCACAAAATTACAGTAATACTTAGAGTCCTGAGATAGAGTCCCAATTCTTTCATTAAATAACTGCAATTAAATTAAATTATTTCTGGGCCAACATTTTGATATCTGTGAAAGGAGTAGATTGGGCAGGATTTTTCTATTTAAGATGTTTTCCATATCTAAGAAAAATTTCTGAAGATTTGACTGTCCAATCAAAAGTTGTACATGCTCTGTTAAGCAAAAGGAAAAAAAAATGTAGTATAGAATGACTTTCATTTGTATTAAAGATGATTAGCAATGGTATTAAAGATGTGTTAATGAAAAAAGATCCCTATAAGGCTTTTGTGTATTTTAGGATTTAAGAACATAGTTTAAATCAAATTCTGGAAATGGGTTTTGTTTCCTGTTTTAAAAACAAACATTCTCACATCTCATTAGCCCAAAAATAACCTGGAAAAAATTCCTGTCATTATTCATTAACTTGTGTTCAGTCAGAAGTAGAATGGGGAAATATGCAGAATAGTGGTTTATGTAATGATTCCAAAATAATAAAGTTGCCAGGTTGAAAAGTCATGTGGAATTACTAGAAACTTGCACTTTTGTGGGAGACGTTTTACATTTACATTTTAGAGCAAGTTTTTTGACTAGTGGGAAAAAGAGTAAAAATATTTTAGATATTTTTGGAAAAAGAGATATTTGGATATCTGTTGGCCTTTTTGTTTTTTGAAAACACCAGGTTTATAGACATACTGGTGTTTCATATTGGAGCAGAGGGAGCAAGTAGTTTTAACCCAGCAAATATTTTACTAAAATACTCGCCAAATACAAAAATGTATAGAATTCCAAATATCATTGCCCCCTGAACCTTGTCTGTTAATCATCATATTGTTACTGTATTTCTCAGGAACATCCTGACCTGTCCTATGGCTTGAGTTAAAAATTATTTTTTATAGGAAAATGTGTCTATGCTTACCTTTTCTTTATATTTCCCACTGTTGAAAGTAAGTTGAAAAGATTTTGAACTAACTTGTATTTTATGTTAAGATGAATAAAGTTCCTACCAGCCATCTCATGGATTTTAACAATAGTTAAAATTGTTGTGATAAGATCAGAAAAGGGTATTTCTCAAGCACCTCATGTTAATATACATGTACTTCAGGAATAATAATTCCCAAATAATCTTTAATAAGTTTCCTATATGATAGTAGGTACTTTAATAGAGGTCTGCCCTCTTAGGTTTTCACTTTTACTTTCAGTTTATTTATGAAAAAACATTTTTTTCCGTTACTAAAATTCAGAATTGCAACCTTTAGGTAGGAAGTGACACATTTGAAGAAAAAAACACATATTACACAAGGCAAAAGAAAATAGGTGACTGTATAATTATTCAGTTAACTTAGATCACATAGAGAATCTGCATAAATTAGACCAAATTCAAGTTTTTACTATATTCTTTTCAGGCTTAAGGTAGCCAACACCTAATAAATAGTCTAAGCTTTCTACATTTTGTTTCTAGACTTAACAAAAACCCAGCCAGAAGTATAATTGATGAAGAAAGTATTTGTTATATGAAAATTCTCTTGAGATTTATTTCACGTGGAATTTATATCAATCTTCTCTGGTTGGCTAATATGCCTAATTTTAATTGTTTGATAAATGTAAGCATTTAAACAATCATAAATAATTTGTTTCCTGATTGTAAAACATCTCATGAAAATTCATTTCAAATGTTCCTTTTCTGCTTTTTATTTTGGTCATCTAGGGCATCTGAGTTACAGAACAGTGTAGCTTATGACTGCGTGCAGCTGCATGGAGGCTGGGGATACATGTGGGAGTACCCAATTGCAAAGTGAGTATGCCTGTTGTGTTACACTTTTCTGGGTGGTGTGAAGAGAAAGGAAAATTTCTTTAACTGTCCTTTGTCCATTGAGTACAAAGGGAAAGGAGGTGCAAAATCTTTGTATTTTTCAGCTGACTATGGAGTGTGTTCAAGTAGGTAGAAACAGCTTCATGTTATCAGCTCACCACTAGGATTTTGTCATATTTTTAAAAAGTGAAGATGTACTGCATTATACAATATACTACATATAAATGTAAATAAATATAAATATATAACATACTAAAGCTTTATTTGAATCATTATACAGAGGGATTAATATCCCTTTTTTATTGTTGAAAAACATTTTATTATAATTGATTATGGTTAATTATTCAGGTTTTTTCTAGTTTTTTACTGTGACAATGCCGCAATAAACGCCTTCATACATTTATCTTAGGTACATGTGTGTTTGATTACAACAGGACAAAGTCCCAAAAGTAGTACTGCTAGTTCAAAAGTATGCATATTTTAAATTTTAATGCATTTCCAGATCATTTCCTCCAGTTTGAAGCAACTCGTACTCAAATGAACAAAGTCTAAGGATGACTTCTCCTCCTAAGCTATGAATGTTATTGCCCTTTAAACTTTAAGTGAATCTAATGGGTAAAAAATAGGTTACTATTCTTCCTTTAATTTACATTGACTATTAATCATTTTATTTTGTTTTATTTTATTTCATTTTACTGTAGTAAGAGCACTTAACATGAGATCTACCCTCTTCACAAAATTTTAAGTGTTCCATACAGTATTGTTAACTGTAGGCACAGTGCTGTACAGTAGGTCTCTAGAACTTATTCATCTTGCTTAACTGAAACTTTGTGCCCATTGATTAGTAACTCCCCATTTCCCCCTTCCCTTAGCCCCTGGCAGCCACCATTCCTCTTTGAGTCTATGAACTTGACTATTTTCGATACCTAATGTAGGTGGGATCATGTAGTATTTGTCTTTCTGTGACTGGCTTTATTTCACTTAGAAGAATGTCTTCAAGGTTCATCTAGGTGGTAACATATTGCAGAATTTCCTTCTGTTTAAGGTTGAATAGTATTCCATTATATGTTATACTACAGTTTCTTTATCCATTCATCTGTCCATGGACATACAGGTTGTTTCCACATCTCGGCTGTTGTGAGTAATACTGCATTGAACATGTGAGCGCTAGCATCACTTGGAGGTCTTGATTTCAATTCTTTCAAATAAATACCTAGAAGTGGGATTTCTGGATCATATGGTAGTTTTATTTCATTTTTTGATGAATTCCCATACTATTTTTCGTAGCAGCTGAGATGCACCACTTTGCATTCCCTCTAACAGTGCGCCAGTATTGCAGTTTCTCCATATCCTCGACAACACTTGTCTTTAGGCTTTTTTGTTAATAGCCATCCTGACAGGTGTGAGATGATATTTCATTGTAGTCTTGATTTGCATTTCCCTGGTGATTAGTGACATTGAGCATTTTTTCATATACCCTTTGGTCGTTTGTATGTCTTCTTTCAAATTATCACTTTTTTAAAACTAAAAAAAAAAAATAGACATTATAGAAAAATTAACCTGCATATAAAAAGGATCTAAGTTGTCATGTCTTAAAACTTTTATTGTCTATTTTGCTCTAAAAATAAATCAAAAGTATTATTTTTTTCTAAGTAGAATTTGTACTTCCTTCAACTTTAAAATAAATTAAATATAGACTTTTTATTTTATTATATATGAATATTCTTGTTATCATTTCGAAGCAGTGCCAGTTTGTCAGTAGGCAGCATCCTCTTCCATATTTCTTCCTCCATCTCCATAATTTCTTCTTTCCCTCTTCCTATAGTCTTTTGCCTCAGTAATCTCTCCATGGCATTTCTCCTCCTCATAGCAGAAGATATATTTTTCCTTTTATTTGGCAATATTTTCAGTTTATAAAATTTTCTCAGGGAAGTTTTTGCTATATAGAGAGAAGTCCAATTTAGTTTTGAATCTGAGAATGAGAATGCTATGAGCTTCCAAAAACTTCTTAAAATTTTAATCTAAATACAGAGTATCTAAAAGAGAAAAATTATCAAACTAGTATTGAAACTTACTTTCAAATTTATCATTTTGGCAAGCATAATTGAAAACATTTGATTTGCTTATAGTCCTTAATGAGGAAAATAAACATTTATTCAAGTTACATTAAAAACAGAAGCTCCAGAAGCTCCAGCAGAGAGCTTCTGTTAGGTATAATTTACTAATTTTCTGTAGCCACTGGGCAGCTCAGAAAGCTTTAATCACAGGGTGTATATAATTTATAACCTTTTATAAAAACTCAGCAACAAGTAGGGTTTTTCCTTCCTTCAGAATGTAGGCATGAAGTAGCTAAGTGATTTCCTTTTCTTTATCAATCCTTGGACTTGGATTTTGGTATATCCTTCCAGAACTACTTCAAACAGGCCTTAATCAAAAGCAGATTTTTTTTTTATCTTTGTATAGTCATGAAATCAAAGTAAACACTGAGTTATGCCAGCACAAATTAAATCATCTCTGGAATTTTTCCTGTGTGTTTTCATGTTTTATTCATAATATTAATCCACCTTATTGACAATATTCAAAATGCTAAGAAAGTAAAATAATAATGGGTGTTTATATTTTTCTACTTAACTGTGCTATTATAACTGCTGCAGGGTATGTAGACATGTCATGGCTCAGTGCTTGTCTAGTTTGGTTCGGTTCCTAAGAAAGGCATGTTAGGTGAAGAGGAGTCAACCATCTACATGGTCCAAGATTAGAGCGTAGCATAAGTCTTGGTCTCTGTTTTCTCGGAGGCAATTCCATCAGGTCAATAGCAAGCAAAAATTGTAACTTGATGGCTTATTTGAAATCCCTAGTTTCAGTTTGAGAGACTTGACATTTCCTTTCAGGAATAATAATCCCCTTGGCCAGCTTGTTGGTTTGAAGACTGTATGAATTTTTAAACTAGACTGCTATTTCTCTCCCCAAAGACATAGGGAAGGAACTTTTCATAATATAACGAGAGAAAGTAGTAAGATAATATCAAAAAAGCTAATTAGATACATTAGGCAGTATGTGGATGAAGTGTACAGACTTTGATGAGATAGAAAAAAAATCATTCTAATTGTGTTTTTATATCCTAAGATTAAGCTATGTGTGTGTTGCTGAGTCTTGGTTTCACAGATCAAAGAGGTGCTTTTTGGTTTTGTTTTATTTATTTGTTTTCTGTTTGTTTAAAAATAACCAGTCTTAAGCATGTGAGTTTACTTCAGTCTTACTCATTAGGCTTGGGCCTATGACAAGTGAGGCTTAAGTTTTGTGATTTAAAGACCTGTCTGCAGTGCTAGGAAGAGAAGCCTGAGATAGCTTCATCACTGTGGGGTTAAACATTCCTTCTGCTGCCATTCTCTGTTAATTTTAGTTGATGACTGAATTTAATTAGTAACCTATAAAAGGGCTACTGATCTCTGTCAATTACCTACTCCATTGGAACTTCTTTAATGTGAAAAAAAATATGCCCAACCTGATCCAAAAATGTCTAAAAGCATTGAGATTGCTGAAGTAGGCTGAAATGCCAGGTAAGTCCTGTAAATGAAAGTGCTAGATTTTGTGGGCAACAATGGAATCTGTTCAAAAGAAAAAATATATTTGAAAACACATATGTCTCTAGATTTCAAGCTTCATAAGAAAGCAGCTGTTGAGACTCTAAAACTCCTTTGTAATACAAGAAGTCAAATCAATAAATATTTACTGAGCGCTCACTGTAAGGTTCCGTGGTGAACGTGGACAAGGAAAAGTTCAGAATTGGTCACGTTCCTAGAGAGCTTGCACATTTAATTTGTCTCAAATTAAATTAAAAAAAAATTTAATGCTTGAAAAAAATGCCTTTGAATTTGTCTACTAGAAAAGCCCAAAGCTCAGTAACTAATCTTACATTTCTGGACCAACGAAAATGTTGAGATGTAATAAAAAAGATACTTGCCAAAGTGGCAGGATACCTACCTTTTCATTCCAGGCTGCCAATGATCTGTTATGTGACCATTAAATAGCAACCATTAATTAGTATATGTATTAACTTTTCAGCATCTCAGTTCCTTTACCTGCAAAACAATAATAATATTTATCCTCCCTAATTCCAGAGCTGAGAGGATAAAATGACATGAGAAAAGGTAAAACCAACTCTATAGTGTTATGGTTGCTGTCATCATTACCAAAAGTGAATTCCTTCTTGTTTTTTTATGGCAGTATACTCAGCCACTCAGTATTTCAACCTCATACATTACTGGAGTGACTGTTAATCATTTCCAAAAAATAAGTTACTTGTTAACTTTGTGAAGTAATATTTTCTGAGGCATCAGTTTATACTGCCGATGGCAGCAGTAATGATGGGAATCTAAAGGATGTTAGAAAATATGTACTTTCTTTTCTCTTTTGCTTTTTATAAAACCAGTAGATTTCAGCTTTTGGGGGGAAACATTAAAGGTAACAAGATATTAAGACATTCCATCCATTTCTAAATTTACAATTGCCCTTTTTGGAATGTTATTATATGTGCTGAATTTTACAAAATTAAATCAAAAGAAACATACTTAGAAATGTTATTTTGAATTTGTAATCTCTTCAAGCAGGCTAAAACAAAACTATACAAATGATCAATATCTTAATAGAATTTTATAATTATACCAATCTAGGGTGGATGCCATACAGAAAAAAAAGTAATTTACAAAGAACTTTTACTGTTTGGATTTCATTAAATGAACACTTTAAAGTAATTAATAGTTACCTGGTAAGACAAAATTTATAATTTCTAATATCTTTTGTTTATTCATTCAATCATCTTCTTATTTATCCAGAGCTTATGTGGATGCCCGAGTTCAGCCAATCTATGGTGGTACCAATGAAATAATGAAGGAGCTAATTGCAAGAGAGATCGTCAGTGACAAGTAGACATCTGCCCACATCCTGGAATCCTATTACAACTAATCTGGTTTTAAATCTACTCAAGATAAAATACAACCTGGAAAGGGAGGGAACACTAAACATGTTTTTATATGTTCTTTCTACAGAGAAAGAAATCAAATACAAGATTAACACAGTGGGAGGAGAAATCTTTGAATCCAAATATCCTAAAGTTTTCTATTTTAAAGGTTGGTAGGATCCTAAACCTTTCCAATTAAAAGGTTTAACTTTTAATTTTTTGTATAGCTAAAAGGCAAAGATTTTCTGATTCTAGAAGCCTTAATGTTTCATTTATCCTTAAAATTCTAAAAGAGCGTAGTCACTTAGATCTTTAAAATTGAGGCAGAAATAATTTTGTTATTATACTTTAAAAATGGGATTAATAATATTTACAGCACATTGACTTTAAAAAGGAAAAATAAATATAATTTACAATGCAAAATATGTTTAGCTATCTCTTAGTCCAAATTCCCCCAAACAGTGGTTTCTACCACCCTATCCTAAACCTCTGTTTTTAAGTAATGAAACACTTTCTTCAAGCCAAAGCTTATGCCGAGTCCTTGTGAAATCCTGTTGTGTGAAGAGCTGCTCTGGTTGAAGCAGGAAGCCTTCCTACCTTATAGCCTTAGAATCACTAGACTCAGCTAAGCAAATCCCCACTAGAGAATGCCACTGGTTGCCTCAACCACTGACCCCTGGGCTTTCAACAGATTTCCATCCCAGTTTAATTTCTAGGAGAACACAGAATAATCCATCATCCTTTAGTTTCAAGATATTGGTGTATTTATAGGTATCAAAACAGTGACTTTTATTTTGGAGCAGTGTAATTTTTTAATTAATTTAACAGATTTACACTTTGTGTCATCTATAAGCCAGGCTGTTAAAAATATGATGAGAAATATGATTTAAAAAATTGGCAAGATCCCTGCTAATAAGTGAATAAATAAGTTGTAATAAATAAGGTAAGAAGCAAGTAAATAAACAAAATTTCAAATAATGATAAAGGCAGTAAAGGAAATAAAGTAAGCATTTAAAGTAGGAAAGTGAGGAAATGACGTTTGGTTTGAGACTATTATCAAAAAATAAGCCATTGATTTGTAAACTGCTAGCATCATCTTAGTACTTGTTTTTCTTTGCATATATTGCTGAGACAGTGAATAAAGTAGTTTTTAAATGGAAATAAATAGGTGTATTCTTGTTTAACTTGCAAAGAACCTAAACATTTTATTTGGTGTTGTGGGTATTAAGCATTTTTTTTTTTTTTTTTTTTTTTTTGGTATGTGGGCCTTTCACTTTTTTTTTGCCTTTCCCGTTTGCCGAGCACAGGCTCTGGACGCGCAGGCTCAGGGGCCATGGCTCACGCGCCCAGCCGCTCCGCGGCATGTGGAATCTTCCCAGACCGGGGCACGAACCCATGTCCCCTGCATCAGCAGGCAGACTCTCAACCACTGCGCCACCAGGGAAGCCCCTAAGCATTGTTTTTTAATGCAGTCTTTACAACTGGGTAGAGCAGAGAGTAGAGAAAATACTTTGATACCATTCTATCCTAGTCTTATATACCTTCAATTTGCTCTTGAGTTGAAGTTTGTATGATTGCCAACTTGAGTCCTTGCTCAGTAAATACCACACAAAATTGGTTAAAATAAATTCTTATTAGATATTACTGTATTTGCCACTTTCACCTCACTCCTACTACCAGGAAACAATACAGAATTAGACCAACCGCTCCAGCCCCAGCCCCAGCCCCTTTTCCAGGCTTACAGGAAACTAGATTTTAGGAATTAAACATCTCTAGGATAAACAGTAAAGTAACATAGTAGGAAATGCCTGCTATGTAGAGGTGGACAAACCTAGGTTTGAATGATGACTCTACCATTTAGCAGCCATTGGACCTTGGGCAAATTATTTAACTTCTCAGGATTCTTTCAAGTGCAAATGACAAAGAAACCCAATTCAGACCATCCTAGGCAAAAACTTTGAGTGCGCTAGCCAAAATGAATTGTAGAGCAGCTCAGGCAATCTAAAGAACTGTAGGAACTCATGTCTCAAGGGCCTGATTGAGGTTCAGGACTGTCAGCACTTACACTATATCTGTTTATTTCTACTTTTCTTTGCAAATTGGCCTAATGCACACTGCAGAGAAATTTCATCATAGGGCCTGTAAAAATGACCTTGGGCTGCTCCAGACCTACATCCTTCAGCACAATATCATTATAAGATGGGGAAAGGTGCACTATAATTGACAGTCTCATCAGGAGCACACAGACTGGGGGAAGCAGTTCCTGAAGCAGAGAGTGGTATTATCAAAAGAAAGAGAACAGAAAGTCTGCTGGGCAGCCCTTAATCACACTCACACACACGCACAGTTATTACGGTCCACTAGAGCTAGGAATAGGTTCTTGTAATTTTTCTATATCAGAAAGTGAAAGGATTTCTAAGGTAGGATATTTTCTTGGAATGATCCCTGAGATCTGTTTTCTATCTCTTCTAAGCTAGTTGTTTATCTTGCAAATTCAGTCTTCTTTTGCACCCCCAAAAGAAGCAAGTGTTGTAGCATGAGCTTACAGCAAAAAGCAAAACAGGGAACTCAGAATGTGTTCCTTAACCTTCTATTTAGTTTTCATTTCTTAAATAGCTTATCTTCGTGTTTTGCTTGTATGGCTTTGATAGTTGTCCCCTAGGGAAGGAATTTATCATCTGTATCTCATGCAGTGCTAAGTGCTCAAGAAATGATAAATAATAATAATGCTCAAAGGAACAGACTGGACCAACACAGCAAGAAAGCCACACTGTGTAAATAATTAATGAGAATCAAAAGGCCTGAGTAATTTTGGATTTTGGCTGAGATTTTTAGAATCGTAATTATTGCCTTAAAATTATTTTTGCCCTTTATTTCTTTGATGTTGTCATTGAAAATGACAATATATAGAAGAAGCTGTTTTGATTTGCTGTTTTAAAAATCTAACTGCAAATCTTTACTAATCTAGTAATTTTAGTAGTTTATTGCTCAAGGTATAAGATTTCTAGGAGACTGGCTTTTTTCATATGTCAGTATTATTTTTGGCACACACAGCATTTATTTATTTGGAGTCATTGGAAAGATTTGACATTGAGATGGAAGCCAACTGTAGGCCTATCATGTCTACTGCTTTATAATAAATGTTGAAAGGGAGTTTTACGCTATTTTTGAAATCTCATCATGAGAAACTTTGTTTTTTTTTTTTAGATGTTGGGGCTAGGAGTTTATTAATTAATTTATTTGTTTTTGCTTTGTTGGGTCTTCATTTCTGTGCGAGGGCTTTCTCTAGTTGTGGCAAGCGGGAGCCACTCTTCATCGCAGTGCGCGGGCCTCTCACCATCGCGGCCTCTCTTGTGGTGGAGCACAGGCTCCAGACACGCAGGCTTAGTAGTTGTGGCTCACAGGCCTAGTTGCTCCACGGCATGTGGGATCCTCCCAGACCAGGGCTCAAACCCGTGTCCCTTGCATTAGCAGGCAGATTCTCAACCACTGCGCCACCAGGGAAGCCCCATGAGAAACTTTTTAAAAAATTACAGAAAAATTCAAACACACTCAAAAGTAATGAAGATAGTGTAATGAGCCTCTAGCTTCAACATTTGCCAGTGATCTCCCTCACGTTATTTTCTCAATAATTTTTTTTTTTTTTTTTTTTTGTGGTACGCAGGCCTCTCACTGTTGTGGCCTCTCCCGTTGCGGAGCACAGGCTCCAGACGCACAGGCTCAGCGGCCATGGCTCACGGGCCCAGTCGCTCCGCGGCATGTGGGATCTTCCCGGACCGGGGCATGAACCCGTGTCCCCTGCGTGGGCAGGTGGACTCTCAACCACTGCGCCACCAGGGAAGCCCCTTTTCTTAATAATTTTGAAGCAAATCCCAAACATGATCCTATTTCATATATATATTTCAGAATATGTATCTAACTGATGAAGTTTTTTTTTGTAACCGTAAGGCCATTATCATAATTTTAAAACTTAAATTTAAAATATAGTTCCAAATTAACAGTAAAGGTTTCTCAGTTGCATCAAGAATGCCTTTTGTAGTTGGTTTGTTCAAATCAGGATCCAAGCAAGGTCCACAAATTGCATCTTTTGGTATTGTCTTTTATATCTTTTATAACAGTCTTCCCTTCTCTCTTTTTCCTTCTCCCTTTCTTTTAAATTTTATTTTTTTAATGAACATACAGCAAATTTGCTTGTTTTGGGTATATATACATATGATAAAATTGCCTTTTTTAGTACTCTGAATTTTAGCACATATATAGATTAGTGCAACCACCACAATCAGGATACAGAACAGTTTCATTAACCCCCAAAACTACCTCATGCCCTTTATAGTCACATTATTTCTGCTTCTCTAACCACTGGCAACTACTGATATGTTCTCTGTTATTATATTTTTATCATTTTGGAACTCATATAAATGGAATCATATAGTATGTAACCTTTTAAGAACAGCTTTCTCTTAGCAAAATGCATTTTAAGATTCATTCATGTTGTGTGAATTAATAGCTCATTCCTTTTTCAGTGCTAAATAGAGTCCAGTGTATGGGTGTACCACAGTTTATTCATTCACCTGCTTAAGGACATGTTGATTGCTGAGATTAAATACCCAGGCAAGGAATTTTGCAGTCATAAATGTAAATGTATGTTTAACTTTATAAGAAACTGTCAAGCTGTCTTTCCAGAATTCCTGTGCCATTTTGCCTTCCCACCAGCAATATGAGTTCCAACTGTTCTGCATCTTCTCTAGCACTTGTATTTTTTTATTTTAGCCATTCTAATGGATATGTAGTAGTACCTCATTGCAGTTTTAATTTGCATTTCCCTAATGTCTAATGATATTGAACAGCTTCTCATGTGATTATTTGCCCTTCACATATCGTCTTTGGTGAATTATCTGTTCAGATCTTTTGCCTATTTTTAGGTGGGTTGCTTGTTTTCTTAATATTGAGTTTTGAGAGTTCTTTATATATTTCAAACTGTCGAGCACAAGGCGTATTCAGGCTGACAGATTCAGCCAGTAAAGAAACAATGAGCCCTTTATAAACTCAGTTTTTTGCTTACATAAGGAGTGCAAAGATGAGTAGCCAAAGGTGCCAGCCCTCT